GCCCAGTGGCCCCCTTTGCTGTGTCTGTTTTTTTGTCTCCCCTAGCCCCGCTCTCAGCACTGCCCCAGGGTGTCTAGGCATGTTTAAGCACCCTGTGTGCACTTACCTCAAGCCGGTGTTTCCATTCACAAAGTGCACAAAAACAGGCAGCGAAGACCCCACCCTGCCTCGTTAACTAACTGCGCGCTAAGCCCGGTGCCGGCAGTCCGAGACCCTCAGTAATGCCCTTGTGGTTTTGCTTCAAGGCGTTCGGCAAGCGCTCTGGCTCACCAAGACCAAGTTAGTGCAAGGCTTACCTCCTAAAGTGCTGAGCATCGTCGACGATCCGGCTAACCAGCTTGAGGATCAAGATGAGAGAGTGAAGCATGCAATCTCACACGCGCGGTTCTGGGAGACTACAGAAGTTGCTCCCAACAGAGAAAACTATTGGTAAGTTCTCAGTCATAAGAAAATCCTTAGGCTGCACGTTTATGGCTTGAGCAGAGCTTTTCATCAAGCAGACAATAAAAGAACCGAAGTTTTAACGCTACGAAGAAAATTCTTACATTGATGTACTGTTGACAGATTCACTTACTGTGCAAAACTGCTACAGCCTTTGTGTCGGGTTGTGAGCTTGGAGGAGAGGGGAAAAAAAAAAGGCAAACAAGAGAACCCCCCAAACCCACACAGTTCTGAATATTGACAGTAGCGCAAATGTAAACACATACTTTACAGGAAAGCTTCTCCTGGCCCATGGGTCTGTGTTTCTATTTGAGATCTAATTCTAGCTGATGCAGGATATCAATTTTTTAAACAACTAATGGCAAGCATTACCTCTGCCAACTTGGAACAGGAATGATATGTTGGATATTAATCTCAAATCTGTATTAACTGTTTGGAAATGTTACGCTATTATATATTTTACACACAGTAATGTTTTATAGTGTTCATGACCCAGAAGCATCTGTCCCCCATTATGATAACGTTTTTATTTTATGTAACTGTTTTTTTTTCCTCATTCTAAAGCCCTGTACTCTTTGAAGACTTGCTGCATTTATGTCGGTTAATGACTGTGAAGTACCCTTCTCTGGCTAAAAGAATGTTGGCTAGAAACTACAGGATAGCAGCTACATGGGAAAGAGGTTAGTTGCTGCTGTGGTGGAGGGCATTTAGCTCTCTTCGTTAATAGGAGAGGGGTAACAAAGTCACTAGCGTGAAAGCTGAGCACTTGGAGAAAATGAAGCAATTTTTGGAACAAATTATTGTTTCGGTTTTAAATAGTGCTGTAAGCATAGGTAGCCATGGATCCTTGGACACGTGGATCCTAGGACAGGATCCTTGCCCTGAGGTGACTGTATCACAGTGTTAGAGAATACCAAAACCGAGGTAGTGGGAGAAGAGAACCAATGTCGTGGACCCGATTGTTTAACTGGTCTGTGTCCAAAATCTGTAAGGTTGTCAGTTGTCTAAGGGTGCTTAGTTAGGGAAATGACACCAACAACTGGTATTGATATTTTATGTGGAAGAAGCTACAGCTGAGTTACTACTTAGGATAACTTGGAGCGAGGGGAGAGCAAGTGAGCCTTGCAGAACAAGGGAGTTGCTAGAATACTGTTGCCCAAAGGAAGGGCGCGTTTTTTGCTAATTTTACCTCAGTGATGTTTGAATGCAGCCTCATGTTCCCTCCCCAGAATTGTTTTTCCTTCAGGTCCGCGGCCTGAATGGAATACTTCTCAATTCTATGGCCCCAATACCACCAGTAGCCTCCAAGGACGAGGTAGTAGCCACTGAAGAACACACTCTAGAGACCTTCTACCCCATCTCTCCTACAATTGATCTTCAGGAAGTGATTGTGTACAGAGAGCTCGATGATACAGGTAAGTCTAGCAGGTGAATAATAATTTTTGGTTAGACTAAACGCATTCGGGTTAACATGCAGTCTTTGCCTTTCTGCCAGAGGGCTGTGGGTGAGGGGGTAGATGGGAATGAGGTAACAGAGGAGCTGGGCACAGGATGTGCAGCGCAAGCGCTCCACTCCTGTGGCTGGTGGTGAGGATATCGTGGCATAAGCAGTGCTGTGGAGAAAAAACTTAGATTCAGGCAAATTGCTTAAACAGTTCCTGAAGATACAGGAGAAAATTTGGCTGCTGTGTAGTCTCTTACTGAGCTGTTTCTGACATGGTTATCTGCCATTTAGGTTTTAGAGATGGTTATCCATACCCTCATCCTCACACCCTGTACTTCCTGGAGTCGGCCAACATTCGTCCTAACAGGTTCAGACCAGAACAGCTTCGGGCTAAAATGATGATGTTTGCTTTTGGCAATGCACTGGCAAAGGCTAAGATGCTGTACGGGGTATGTATTTGAGGCTGCTGCTGACTTGCTAAGCTCTTGTTCTTTCTCTAGTGTTGCAGCTAGTGGATAAAGTTGTGAAATTCCCTTGCCATGGCAGGATACAGTAGTTTTCATATCTGCACTGTTGGCTTTACTATATAGTGACTTCCCAGTCCAGAGAGCTAACACTAACCTTCAGGTATGTATGGTGAGTGATGTATCCTGATTCAGAAAACCCTCTTTCAGCAGTGAACGTGTTCATGATATAACGTGTTAGATTACTAATAGGTAGGAACCAGGGGGTAGGTTTAACAGAAAACTCTAACCCATCCCACATCTCGGTATTTAAATTGATACTTCACTGCTGGTTGAAGGAGGAATTTTAATTAAAATACAAAATCTACATTCAAAACTTGTTTGACTAGAGTAATTTTCTGGGCAAGGTAACAATACGCTTATTAAAATCTTGGATTTGAACCAAGTAGAAGATGCAGAATCAGCAACTACTTGCACAATTTCTGTGGTAACTGGCTTTTCAAACGCTCCCCCCACCGCATTCTTTCCTAGAGCGATCCCAAGGTTTTGGAGCAGCCCGTAGTGGTGCAGAGCGTTGGCACGGATGGCCAGCTTTTCCAGTTCATGGTGTTCCAGTTAAATACAACAGACTTTGTCTCTAGCGATGGCATTAAAAATCTAGTCTGGATTGACTCGGATCAGCAACTGTATGAAAAAGCCCAGTGTGTTCCGGAAGTCAAGAAGAGGGTTGTTACGGTAAGCAAACAGGAACGAAAAGACCAATTTGGTGGTGGTGGGAAATCTTGCCCTTTTAGCTGTGCTGGAGGTTGGGGAGCTGGGGTAGAGCTGCAGTTCGGGTTCTAAACCGGTCGGAGGGAGCTGACGCCGGCAGTGGTTCTTGCTGGGGAGTCTTAAGCAGGTGTTACTGACAGGGAGTATTTGTACTGCGGATGTACTGCTTAGCGTACAAGCTACGTGCCAAGCTTAATATAAACTCCTACATAAAGATGTCCCCATCTGTAATCTACCATCTCATAATATGCTTGTTTAAAATCAACTTGGGCTCTGATGAAGGAAGTGCTTACATGCAACTGTCAGCTTCACTGTAAAGTAAACAGAGCGTAGTACTGTCAGCCCTGGTTACCGTGGGAGGCTTCGCGGTTTGACGGGCAAGGGGCTTATGCAGTTTAAGGTTCATACCGGTGGAAGCACCTGCCCGCAGACCCTTCCATCTGGGGAGGGCAAGCACGATTTGGAGGCTACCATGTTTGAAGTCTCATTCAAGCATATTTAAAATCATTCTTTGTCTACGTTAATCACTTCTCTGCAAACTGAGCGTCCAAGTCTTTTTCTCTGCAGAAGCCCACTGGAATATATGGCTTTCAGCCAGACACGTTCAAGAAGTTTCTGGCACTGTATTTGCATGGAACTGTGTGAAATTCCACTCAAAAGAAAATCTTCCATCAATTGTACCTGCTGCTTCTCTTTGCCAGAGCATCACATAACTAAAGAAGGGTGGATTAATTTACTTTCTAAAATAAAATATATTGTTATTCAAAGTAAATTCTTTTTTTTTTTTTAATCAAACTGTGCATGAAGAAACTTTTTTATTTTAGGGGCTCACCTTGTATCTTGTATCCGGTTAGAGAGTCATCAAATGCTTCCTTCTGGACTTTTCCACCGTTGCCTAGAAGGAACGCAAACCATTTGTTACTCCTCTGCTCAGGTTCTGCTCACCGTGGGCTCTGTGCAGAGCTACACTCAAACCTACTTTGTGAGTTTGCTTTCAGTTCCTCTGTTGTATATGGAAGATGCCTATCAAGCTTAAAGAGGGGAGTCTGAGGCATACACCTTTGTCATTCTGCCTGGGTTTTGCTTGGTTTTACTTTTCTAGCTGCTTCGTGAAGTCATGCTGGCCTGTGCTCTTAGTTCCCAAAGTGCTTAATCAGTGAGAGCGCTTTTTTGGATCTCTAGGACCACAGCTCTGTGCCCCAGTGCTGGAGAAGAGACCTGTACGTTTTGGCAAAGTGGTGTAGCATGTGACACGAAACTTTGGTGCCTAGTAGCTGGTATTTGCCACTACACAGCAAAGGAAGAATATCCTCCTGCTGTACACAGTTCACTGAGCAGGTAGCATGTTCCTTTTAAGACGGAGGATTAGTGTGTTTTTTGTAAACGGGGTAAACTAGCTCCAGCCAAAGGTGGAGTGTTTGGCAGTTCTGCAGTGGTGCCCTTCAGCACGTGGGAAGGAATGGGACAGCCTGTGCTCTTTTAAGGTAGAGAAGAGACTATTTCCAAGACGTTTTTGTCATTTTAGTGTCTTGTGTTGGAGACGGGTCCGTGCTGTGATCTTATCTGACCGTCTGAATAAACAACTCGGCTGTGTGTTCTAGTCTCAGAAGCCCTCAAACAGCTCTACCCTGCTGCTTTCAGAAACGGGATTTTCAGTAGTCAACAATTGCACCCAATACATCGGGATGCATCTTCTGTAAATTAAATTTAAACAATCACTCAGTAGTCAGGAGAAAGTGCTCGAGGAAAGAGAAATAATCTATTAAGTGTTGAATCAATCAAGATTCTGTTAATTCTGCCTGCACCATTCAGCTCATCTGTTTAAATCTGTAATCTGCACCTAGTTATTTAGGAGTATATCTTACAGGTTTAGTAGGTTGCTTGTGTTTTGTTGAGGCTGTTCCGGTAGGTAGTTCTTTCAAAGCAGAGAGCCAACAGCCCAACTACGTCACACAGACCCCACTGAACAGGTCTAGGCAGCAGCCCGCAGAGCCTGTGTGTGTCCCCTTGCCCTTTCTGCTGTGGGTCGTTACCCCTGTTAGGGAGGCAGCCCTGCGGAGCAGCGATGTTCAGCAGTCACAGCCATGTTCACGTTCCTGAGCAGCCCAGTTTCACGTGCTCAGGGCCTCGCCTCACTAAGAAAGACTCTCACTGCTTGAGAGTCTGCGCTGCCAGAAATGAAACACCTCACGTGCTTCTAGTAGATGCAGGAATCTGCAGGGATGGTCTGCATGGACGGGAGCCAAAATCCCTTTAGATGTTTTTCCCTCTCCACCAAGAAAGTGCTGTTAGGACAGGCAGTAGAATGGGAGGAAGTGAGTCCTGCTTCTCCAAGACTGAGCAGACACAAAGCCAGAGCCCAGAGAAGCTTGGATGAGGGGAGAGCAAGCAGGCACCTTTGAAAGATGGCAGGAAAAATGGAGCATTGGACAGTCAGCAGGGGAACAAGGTCACTTCAACCGCTGGCTTTGGTTACAGGAAGCCTCGGGAGGCCGCTTGAGACGAGGGCTGTGTGGAAGCATGTGAGACTGTGGCCCTGGCTCAGGGCACGGCCGGCCTTGCCTGCAGCGGTCACAGAAGTGGTTCTCACGTGTTACAACATGTGAGACGCGAACAAGCAGTTGATCTTTGTCCTGGTTAAGCACCTCTGAAGTCCAAAAGGGGAACTCGAGGTGGGCAGAGCGGGGCTCCCAGCTTGGCCCCCAGGATGGACGTGGACGTTGGTCCGTTGTGCGGGGCAGCGCTAGCTATGCGTTCTGGGAACGAGGCAGCCCCGGCAGAGCAGACGGCTGCGCGCGCGTGGGCGTTACTCTAGTCTTTCCAAGCACGTGGTAAAGTTCCCCTGCTCCGTCCTCCTTCGCGACCTGCTGGGATGAGGCTAGCTCAGGGAGATGGGAGCGAGAGAAGGACAATGGGTCACAGAGGCGCAGCTGGGTTGGCATCAATAAGTTATAAAGACTTGTCAGCAGATGAACGGCATTACCTCAGCACAGACCAGGGGCCCGACATTAACTTTTAATGAACGGCAGCCAAGGGAAGCAGAACATGCGCGAACAGGAGGTCGGGAGCCTGCGATGAAGACCTGGAGGTGCCTGGCTGCCAGCAGGGCATTCGCGACGCGCTCCCGCTCTCCCTTGTTTCCCTCTG